TAATACATAGTATATATATATACCTATAATATATTTGGAATCAAACACTCATGTACTATTAGTATAAGGTGCCAAATAAAATTGTATTGTATTGTATTGTATAGATCGCGCAGGCGTACTAACCAACACTACACATCTACGTCATGATATGCATATTAGTGATGTTAATCATCTTGAGGCTGGTCTACAGATAAACAACACGACAACTTAAAATATTTTCACAAAAAAATGGATAAATACTCCAAAATAGTGCAGAATCTTATACGAGCAGGGATAAAGATGGTAGCAGTAGACTTCGACCTTACTATTCTCAACATACATACCCATGGGTTTTGGCAGTTTACAAGTAAAATGTTGGCAACTCGAGTTCGGCCTTGTTTTAAACACTTCTTGAACGAAGCACTCAACTCTGACTTACATGTAGCTGTCGTTACTCAATCTCCACAAGTGGAATTAGTACGAGAAGTCCTAGAATTGTCACTACCAGATTGTGATATAAGAAAGATAGAAATTCGAGGTGCAGATGGTAAATGGAAAGAGGTTCGAGGAGTTACGAAGGAAGGTAGGTCACAAATTTGACCTGAAAAACTGTTACCACGAGTTGTGGTTCGGGGTTATGTTGGGTATTTGTCACTCTTCATGCAGGTATTCTTATTCATCCAGGTTTTGTTTTATCTTTTTCCAACCATTTAGTCCCTTCATTGTTGTGGAGCTGTCTTGATTGAAATTTATTCCATTTAAATGCAAGCCAAAATCGACATATCAAGTTCCTTGATCATAAACCGATAACATTTTAGACTCCACAACATCCTAAGGGCATTTTGTTCTCACACTGTTCAAAATTGCTTATCAATCGTGACATTATTCTATCAATGTTAACACACAGGGTAGAATGGGAGGGGGCGACCCCAGGGTAAATTGACATTTTCAGTCTGAAATGTTTAAATTCCCCACCCCCAATCAACTGATAAAAGTCAAATTCCACTGTTAGCTTAGCTAGATGGCAGCCACATTAATTTTCTACTGTTGGGGAATTGAATAATGTCAATATCCCCTTAGGTAGCCCTTCACCTTGGGGCTTAACAAATCTTAGTGCCTCATGAAGCTGGTGAAGTGAATATTATACACTTAATGTCTGGTCGTGAGGGCAATAGTTAGTTTTGTTTTCCCGAGAGTCTCTACTAACTAATTTCCTGAGGGACCAGACATTAAGTGTTTTGTTGTATAGCAATTGAGAAATTATGGAGAAGTCAGTTTATGAAATAAGAACTTTATTTAGCAAGCTAAATGCATGAAAACTAACCATGATTTTACAAATACAACTCTCATATGGTCTTGTATTTCTCTACCAAAAAGCGAAAAGAGTAGCAACAGCATTTTTAGTTGCTTTTTTTCTCATATTTTCCAAATCTGTTTTCTCAATTAAAGTCTGTGATTTCCCTGTAGAAACGCTGGAAAATCTCTATTGTTTTGCTTCAAGCGAATTCGAGCTCCATTTGCACTGAAAATTCAACCAAAATATCTGCACCCACGCTGTTGTTCCTGATTGGTGCAAAATATCTCGCATTCGCTCAGCGATTTTCACGTTCTGATCACGTGCACTGGTTTATATTCACAATTATTGTCATGTGGAACTTATTTCCCGGTAGTGATACATTTAGATTTAACTAGTATCACATGGTCATCTTTCAACCAATGAGAGTGTTCATGGATATTCGAGCAGTGAGGTAAATATTCCCAACCAAGCATGCAAAACTCTATATGCAGGCAGTTAGCTAGCATTTAGATGCATTGGTAGACTAAAAACTGGAGTAAAATGGCTGCTTCCAAGTAGGAGTTAAAATACATGTATGAGCGGGACATCTGTATGTAATATATACAGTATGAGTGGCCGTGTTGTATCGAATGTACAAACTCGAGGCGTCGAGGCATAGCCGAGAGTTTGTATATCAGATACAACACAGACACAAACACTGTAGATTGCTTATCAAACAACTAGGTTAGTTCCTTTGTGTTTCACTAAAATTTTCAAAATTAAAGTGAATCTGCCCAAGAAAATCCAAGTTAAAGTTCATGCAAATGAACAAGATTCTGTATCTGATTTACAGAACTCTTCACGGCTGTGATTTCTATTGTGTTTTCCTCATGAATTATTAATGAGTTTGATAAGGGTATTTACAAAGGAGAGTCGCATGCAAGAATATTTTAATATAACTTTATTTACAGAGGGTTCACACACGACAGTTACAATCTTATGATAAAATTGTACTGATAACCCAGTGGCTCTAAATGCTTGTGAAATGAATGAATACTTGGAATGCATAACATTGTTTTGTGACTCTGTGTTATGCAAATTCTGAAAGTGCGATGTATGACATCACATAGGAGTTGACTTACTAAAAACTATATTGTGTGTAATCTATTGTTATTCGTGTTGCAGGTAAACAACAACATATTGAATCTGCAATTAAACAGTTTGAAAAGACCCGCAAAGTCAAAATATCTGCAAAGAATGTAATCCTCCTCGATGATGATATCAACAACATAAACATTGCAAGGAGCTGTAAGATGCAAGCTCTTCATGTTACTGATGATAACAGCTTGGACACTCTTCTAGATCAAAGGTATTTAATATGGAGATCTGTTAGGAATGAAACAAGCAGTTTAAAATGGTCTCTTGTGATAATGGGTGCGTGCATGATGTGTTAAGTAATCAGAAAAATCCCAAGAAAAACTATTGGTTGTACAAGTATTTGTTTTCATTTTTAATACTAAACGCTAGTCATTATGAGATATCAGGATTACAATGAACATTGGCGAAACCTTGAGTATAATAATGATTCTTTTTAAAAACTGTTTTTGTGAACCAGTCAAAATGTGTATATTTAAAGAAGCCTGGGGTGACGTCACAGTCAGTAACATATTGGAAACTATAAACCTTCATAACTTAAAGATGCAACATTCAAATGAAGAAATATTTTACCATTCAATTATTCACTTTATGTAGATTCAATGCTGAAAGTATTGTATCAGGGATTAGGTGCACTTTAAGTAGTGTTTAAAAAACGAGTAGGAGTGTTTTATCAGGTATAAAAGCACTTGGCTATGCCTCATGCTTTTATACCTGATAAAACACAATCTATGAGTTTTTTGAACTGCTTAAAACACTCATGAACAATTTATAAGATTTTGGTTTAACTGGACTAACCATGCACGTCACGAACATGGATTTTTATACTTCGATAGAGATTTGACATCACGGGCATGCGCAACTAGATTCAATAGAAGCTCCCACACGTTGGGTATTGTGTGCCAAGGCAAAGACAGGCACGTTAGTCAAAAATCATTAGGGTTGACTATGACCTTGATGAAGCTCTATATCTTCATCTTAACTTGGATGCATACTTCATCCCTGATGAAGTCATCCTCATAGTATTCGAATGGTCTTTATATAAAGATCACATGTGTCTTTATATAAAGACACATGTGTCTTTATATAAAATCACTTGAATACTAAGGAAGAGGACTTTATCGGGTATAAAGGTTCATGCACGTGACGTGTATGGTGGCTCCAATTGGACCATAAGCTTATGAATTATTAATGAGTGTTTTAAGTGTTATTTAGCTTTTTCTCTGACTATCTTCCCTTACTATTTCAGTTTCAGAACAACAGATGTTTAATAGTTAATGGATGTGCAGAACCAACATTAAATACAAATGAATATATTTTTAAATAACTACTGGGTATACAGTGTTAAATGACTGAGCAGCCTTCTACACATATTTTCTCCTGTTCAGCAGATTGTAATCTCATGATATTGTATAAATTATATTGTTGTGTTCTTTTTCAGTAGAAATTAGTCTTGAATTACTCAGTGAAGTAACCATTAATCTAATATCAGTCAGGGTGCTTTATAACATTGTCATTAGTACCAGTTACCAGTCAGGGTGCTTTATAACATGGCCATTAGAGAGATTTAGAGGTGGGTGCAAGGAGCCATGTCCCCCCTTTATTTTGGTTAGTCACAGAGGTTCCTCTAACTATATTGTTTTAGTATAATTTTAGATTTGAATATAGTTTGAATATAGCTGGCCGTGATTGGTCAAGTGATTCTGAGACGATGATCACTGCTGGAGTGGTGATCATAAGGTTTTCAAAAGTTTTCCAAATTGGAAGTAATACTAAACGTTTTTTTATCCTGAATTTCCACTTTTCTCTGATGTTCAAATCTAAAATTTTACTAAAACGATTATTACCCTCAGGCTCAGTGAATATGGTAATATTTACCTTGCCTCTCGAAGACTTAGGGCTCGGTAAATATTCCACCGATAATCACTTCGCCTTCTGCAAATAATATTGTGAAATAATAGTCCATATCAAAACGAAAACATTTTTTTCCGGTCTAGCTCACTATAAATATATTTTTCTGGCTATTACAGTGAGTTTGAGAAATGTGACGTATAAACTTTATAAGGATATAATGTAAATTAGTCTATATTTATTGATGTTTATGATGTTTTGTATTTGTTTATTATATAGTTTTTGCCTAAATAAATTCAATATCGAAATAAAATTATTAAAAAGCTGTTTTATTTGTTAAAAATTATGCAAAAGACCTTCTATTTTTTTATTGTCACGTGATTTTGGATAGGCATGGTTTTTGTTCCATATATGCGCATAACTATTTGATAATGACTATTTTCTAAATGAAGAGATTTTTTTCCTGCTTCCAAGTGATTTAGTTGTATGTATTGTACTCTGCTAGCTAATATATTCTGCAAGCATGCAAGACTTGTATTGGTGTTCATCACTGCAGATTAGGCAGACCCAAGGCACTTTTGCATAGTATACAACTCTACTCTGAGGGCAATGCGACCATACCAATTAAGGACAATAAACCTTACAAACCGAGTCTTGATCAGCCGAGAAAGTTTGTGGCTTACAAAAGTGTCCCTGTTGGTGTTACAAGAGAAAACCTGTCAGTATGAAAATAAGAGATGTTCACTGTAAAGTGATGATGTCATGCACACACTTTATACAACACCAGGATTTCAAGAAAGGATTTGAAATACTTTATACCGCTTGCGTACATTCAATTTCAAATCACGCATAACAAAAAAACTTTCAGTTGAGTACCTAGCGGTCAGGTTGTTCACTACAACTAGAATGTCTTTCTTACCTTTTATTGTCCTTGAATTATATAGTCCGTCCATTACTGCCAATTATCACCGTAAGCCAAGGTGTTAGAAGTCGACCAGCTGTTATAGGCATATGGTCTTCCTTGTGTAGCTATCTTAATAAGCTAAAAGCTACGCCCAGCGTCTATCTAAACAAAAAGCAAAGCCATTTTTTGTCGTATTATGACGAGCCTGCGCCTATCGATAATCTTGTATATTTCAATCTTAAATTATTTGCACCAAATGAACATTCCGCACGAAACAGAAAATAACATCAAACCCGCCAAATGCAAGCTGGAATAGATTATAAACTAAATCGTGCAATAAACTAAACCTACTTGTAAATACTCTCCTGAAGATCGTTGGTGAGCGACCCAGGCACCTGCATCTGCTTTGTTAAAATATGGCAGTGCTGGTTGATTGTTTGAACGCCCACGCCATGGAGCAAAGCCAGTATATCCACCATAATACCATGAGGCAATGATGTGGGAATTAGGGATACAACCGCCTTCCACTCCTATTGCTGCATCACACGTTATTACTATTGGAATGACAAAGAGTACGAGTACGATCGATAAACAAAGAAAGAAAAGAAGGCAAGCTAAAAGGATTTCCATCATGTCTAGCCCTAACCATTCTTTTTTTTTTTTTTTTTTTTTTTTTTTTTTTTCATCCATTTTTATCATTAATAGCTTCTAACTGTACTCACTGCA